TAGTATGCGGTTGTGCTGTTCGCAGGTGTTCGCTGCGAAGCCGGAACGCTACTTGTGTTGAGATGGAATTGCTTGGATGAAGACTTGAACTGACATCAGGTCTAAACCCTAAACCCCAAACCCCAAACCCTAAACCCTAAACCCTAAATTCGCCCACACCGGCAGCATTTTGCCGGACAGCTTCGGCTGCTGCCTCGGATGATCTCTTGTTACGAAGAGCCTTTCGTGCCGTCGTGATCCTGTTTTGCTTCATTGAGGGCAGTTTAGGGTTTAGGGTGTAGGGTTTAGGGTTTAGGGGCAGTTTTCCTAAATCATGGTCCCCTTCATATCTTTTCTGCAATCTCAGAACTTGGAGGTGGCACCATCGACTTTATCACCTGCAAGTACCGGAAATCTTATATTTGGATTATTACTCTCCGCTATGTGTTCGTGTCTTACATCTCTTAACTCCTGCGAAGGAATTCGCCCGACACTCTGCTTTCAACCCTGCTCAGTGAAAGTCCATGCAGCCGCACCCTCATAACTTGCGATGTTCCCCCCTTATGGGGATTGCAATAGGGGGTTCCTAGAAACACTAGCAAGGACCCTAAACCCTAAACCCCAAACCCTAAATCCTACACCCTAAACCCTAAACTCTTAGTAATTCGGGGGAACATCCCAACTTATAACCCCCTCACATGGGAAATTCGGCACCATCCCCATGGCTGTCACCGGGACCTGGCCGTAAAAGGCGCGGAGCCCGTAACCCCAAAAACCCTAGAGTTTAGGGTTTAGGGTTTAGGGTTTAGGGTTTAGGGTTTAAGCTCTCATCTAAACGCCATTTTATGCCGCTTGCAGCCCTACAGCCCCTCTGTTGGTTAGCAGGGAATGGGGGAATGAGGTACCCTATATCATCCCTTACGGGGTATATATAGGGCCCTAATTCCCTCATTCCCTGCCAACCAACAGTAAGACTAGCCCTCCACCAGCGTCACCTCCGCATGGGTTCGCCAAAGTTCGCTCGCCTCGGACCAAATCCCCGGTCAGAAACAGGGGTTTAGGCTGGGATGCTCCCCCTTATACGAACAGTCCTTAGTAGGGATTGTAGTACCCTCTTATTAGAATCTCAAAAAAAAAGGACTGTTAGTATAAGGGGGAGTATCCCAAGGTTTAGGGCCAAAGCTTAGGGTTTTAGGATTTGGGGCTTGGCTGGTTTGCAGGAGGTTTAGTTTACGGTCTATAGCTCGGGTTGACGTGTATAAGTTCCAGAAGTTTTGGGGGGCCCTAAATGTCAAGATTTGTAGTATAGCACACCCCCTTCCAAAAAAAAGAAAAACAAGAGGACATAGAGCCCCAAACCACAAGCCCAGGAGGAACCCCAAACATCCTTGGAAGACCAGTAACCATGTTACACTGAGAAGTCGGTTCCTACTATCAGGGAACACAGGATCTCAAAAAACAAAAGGGAACGACTGGGTGACCAAGAATCCTAGACAAACCCTCAACCCTAAACGCTAAACCCAAAACCCAAAACCCTAAACCCTAATCCCTAAACCCTGAACCGCAATCCCTAAACAAGCAAGTGCTCTGAACCCTAAACCCTAAACCCTAAACCCCAAACCCCAAACCCCAAACCCTAAACCCTAAACCCTGGCTTGCGGAGACCTTGCCTCGACCTTCTCATCCTCACTGGAAAGTCCTGCACAACTGCTTGGGGGTTTCTGTCACATGTCTACTTGGAGGTTTAGGGTTTAGAGTTTAGGGTTTAGGGTGGTCCGAGAAGGTTCAGGGGTTTAGGGTAGTTTAGAAGAAGTGAGTTATAAAGTACCCTAAGTCAGGTTATAGCCAGGTATATTTACAGATGCCTTACTTATAACTCCCCATGAACCTCTAGACCCAGGGGCTTATACGGGAGCCCCACCCCTAGAGAAAGGAAATAAGCGCCTACTCCGGGTCATCGATCTCCCATTAAAGGGGCACCCAAGAACTCAAACGTTCAGAGCGCTTCACGGCATCTCTTAAACGCACACGGGGTTTTCCGAAAAAAGGGGACCCCGTAAAATCGACCCCACATAGTAGGATTCCCTCATAAAAGGGACCCCCCAACAAGGTACCCCTACTATGTGCCAATTTTGCCCACACAAACGTCCTTCCGTGTAGGCGGACAGGAAAGAGAACACTTCCTCGGAAAAGAACATACCAAACATGGCAAACCCTAAGCCCTAAGACCCTAAATGGGACCTGGGTGATTCATGATTGCGAAGCTTTCTGCGTATCATTAGCGTTGGCCTTATCAGAGCGCTGCTCATTGCTGTCCTCGTCAAGGACTTCGCTGAGTGGGGCTACTCGGGAATCCCTAAACCCTAAACCCTAAACCCTAAACCCTAAACCCTAAACCCTAAACCCTAAACCCTAAACCCTAAACCTTCAACCCTAAACCTGTCAAGGGAACCTCTGAAGGGCACCACACACGTTTTGCATCTGGGGTTTCCGAAAACAGGGGTACCTCTTTTTGGGGGCTGCCGAGAATAAGGATCATACTATTTCGCGGTTTAGGGTTTAGGGTTTAGGGTTTAGGGTTTAGGGTTTAGGGTTTAGGGTTTAGGGTTTAGGGTTTAGGGTTTAGGGTTCAGGGTATATTAGCGGCTCCCCTGCTTGTGGGAAATACACATTTTGAGCTTTATTTTCGGTGCTAAATGCGAAGATGAGGAGTGGAAGCCTGCAGAAATCCTCACACAATTTCCTTATAGGAGTGAGTGTCCATAGGTCTATATTCACACTCCACCACCTTAATGTAGGGTCATGAATGAAGTTCCCCAACCCTAAGCCCCTCAACCCTAGCTGAGCTCTGCAACCTCAAGCCCAAAACTCGTGGTGCCCGTTTGTTTTCTGGTACATTCTGGCAATGACCCCAGGATGGGAGTTGTTGGGTTTTGGGGTTTGTAGGGTTTTGGCTTTATAGGGTTTGGGGTTTTTTGGGGTGCTCAGGTACTGACGCTCTGCTTCGACAGCGCATTCAACCTGGAAAGGGACGAGAACAGGGCTTGGAAACGAGGTTGGCATTCAAGGTTTGGAGGGTGTAGGGTTTAGGGCTTTGGGTTTAGGGTTTAACACATACTACACTGCAAAACCCATCGCACGGCCGGCGGAACATCCTGGAACATGTCTTTCCATGCTCCACTTGATACCATAAGACACTTGTTGGGTCAGTGTTCAGGTGGCGGACTGCCCGGCGCGGCAGAATAACTACAACGGGAGTAGAAACCGGACGACTGACTCAAAAAGCCGAGAAGAAGGCGTGCTTGCCCCGATACGGTGATGGAGCAGAGTCCAGCATTCAGACCCTCAGCCCCAAATCACAAAAACTTCTACCCTAAACCCTAAAAACTCCCCAAAACCCTAAATCCTAAAACTCAAGCCCATTCTCTGAACTCGCTCAGCTTCTGGCCAAGGATGTTGTGACTTGAAAATGTCCAACACCTTTGGCAGACATCGGGGATGTCCAGGTTGAGACTTGCTGGAACATATTGCACGGTACCATAGAGGAGTTGGAGTGGTTTAGGGTTTAGGGTTCAGGGTTTAGGGTTGCGTGTTCTACAGAGGTCATCAGGGGCAAGATTCTGAGCTGCCAGCATGCGAGACTCCCTTCTGCTTTCGATGACCCAAAATCCTATAGGAATGAAACAGAACATCCTTCTTTAACTGACATTTAAAACATGAGATGTATGTGGCATCCTTTCCCAATCTGCAAGAAGAGTACCATGGGCATCTATTAACTACAACTGGACCCAAGAGCAACCTAGGAGCAACAAAAAGGTGCCCCCCCCCCCCACCCCCCCGTTTGGTTTTAAAGGGGCTTACAAGGGAACCTAATTTAGGGTTTAGGGTTTAGGGTTTAGGGTTTAGGGTTTAGGGTTTAGGGTTTCCCAAAACAAAGGGAACAAGGGTCGACTCTCGGTCCGAGACAAGAACCAATCGAACTCATCCACCCCACCATCAAAGAATTGAGTCCAGCGTTGAACCCGAAACCCTAAACTCCCAGCACCCCCCAACTACCCTTCAACCATCATAGTCGGGTATATAAGCCACCTTTGTTAAAGAGAAGTTGGGGGGGGTTCAGGTCCCTCAACCCTACACCCCCTAAACCCTCAAACGGTCAGTTTCAGAGTTGCGGTCCTCGTTCTCCCGCGCTTGCTGTACGCTTTCTTGGAGGGCACGCTTCCGCTCCTGCAAAAAAAGGAACGGAAGAAGGCGAAGGCTAGCTTTCTAGATGGCCGCCGTCACTGGGTGAGGGGTTTAGGGTTTTAGGGTTTTAGGGTTTGGGCTTAGGGTTGAGACCGTTCTCTCAAGTCAAGTTCGTTGGCTTCAAAATCCTTTCTAAGGGAAGTTATATGGTCCTTTCATATGGTCCCTTACCTTCCTTCAGCGTTCTGAAGTATGGGCTCTTAAAGGGGGTATGTGCACATATAAGGGTTCCCCAATCAAGGTAACATGAAACTACCCCGACATTAGTGAGGATGCGCCCGCTTTGGTTCTAGGTATTGCCTTCTTCAAAGTGAATGCGGACAGACGTGGACATCGACTGAGTGAATCACAAACCCCACAAACCAACTTCCGATAGTGCGCTCAGGGGAACTCGCAAAAAACTCAGTCCGTGAAAAACCAAGCTGAAATTTTGGCTAGAATATGATATGGCTGGACACGACAAACCCACCACAACGAGCTGAGAGTGCAGATTCACAGACCCCGAATACCCCTGGAACATGCGCAACATATCCTAGGTGACGATGATGTCCGACACACCAGCAAAGCCACTATTCAAGTGAAAAACTCTTGGGTCTGAACAAGGATTCGATACGGTCTTCATCCCAACCAGGTGGTTGAACACATGCGCAACATCATTCAGAATCCTGCGCCCGAAGCTATACCCGCACCTTGGCCCCCCCCCCCCCCCCACCCCTCGTTGCGCATCAATTTTTCAGGGCCTCCAGACGACTCAAGTCAAAGGGCCCATAGCAGAATCATCCTCCAGTTCCATCCACGCTTTCGAAGGAGCAGCTGCCACTTTGACCGTCTCCACGGGACGGTGACTCCACCCGCTGCTTCTTCAAAGGCTTCGCCTCAGGCTGCGGGTCCTCGGGAAGCACGTAGTTGCAAAGGCTGCGGAAGGCTGCGAGGGTCAGATTTTTCATCTCCTCTCCTTTGCCCTGCCAGGTGGTGAGGTTGAAGGCCGACGATTCGGAGCCATAGTCGTAGTCCACGACATACACAAACTCACATTCCAAAGGGGCTGACAAGGGAAGAATGTACAGGCCACCAGGGCCATGCTTGAATTGGGAGACAAACTGAGCCACCAAGCAGTCGAAACCGTTACAGACTGTCTTGTGATTTTTCAACTTCTCAAGTTGGTGGCGCTTCACCTCTTCCACTCGCTCTGGTGGGAAAAAACCTGCCAGATCTGGATTCAGCAGTGGGCCTTCCAAGGAATCCAAGCCAGACAGCCCGTTGGTAAAAACTACGCCTGACAGAAATCTGGCCAACTTAAATCCCAAGCTGAAATAATCGCCGTCAGCATGGAACTTCACTTTGAGGTAGACCTCGGTTTTGCCTCCGATCTGGCTCCGGAAGACCACCAAGCCGCCAGTGCCCATGGCGGATGTGACGACCGAAAGCGGAGAGTTAAGATTCTTGTGCCTCATGACTTTGACACATACGTATATGTGTGTGTATACACATACACCTCAGACTCTGAACCTCTTCGTGCGCCTTCACGATTCTTGGCAGGAGCATGCCATGCTGCGAGCGCCGACGCACAAACATGATGCAGATAACATACAAAAACGCACCAAACTCTGCAACTGGTGTGGAATACATAATCATCCCAAGAATTCCCCACATGATAGTTGATGGCACGATGGGCAACATTGCACACCGGCGCAGCAAACTGCCTGCAAGCCATCTCGCGACGCGCAGCAGTGGCGGCATAGCCAAAAAAACCGCATGGTGAAAGCGCCGAGTCCTGGCGATCGTAGAAGTCGAGATAGAGTCGCTGGTATACCTCGCGGTTCTTAGGACTCGTTGCAATGCTTTTCTAGAAGCTTTTGGGAACAGCCCGGTACCTTCAGCGAGGACGATCTGCACGACATTCAAAGGCACTGACTAGCTCTCTGGCTTAATCTCAGCGCAACTAGCGTTGCGGGTTGTTCAGGGCACCTACTTGTTTGAGTTGTACTCACCCAGGGAAGAACCTTGGCCGGTTCCTACCATAAGCATTTAAGCATTTGGGGGGTAAAAAGGTGACATAGTGAAATACCTACGTTTAAGATATCACCGTCTGTTCGCTTTAAGAAACCCAGAAACAATGAAACCGAGAAGCAAAACGAGATGAACATGAAATGCGGATGCCAGGGTTGACAAGAAGAATGAAACACAACTGACAAGCAAATAAAAAACAACATGAAAACGATGAGAACACAATCATAAGCACAATGAGAAACACACATGAGAATCAAATGAGGTTGGAGTCTTCGGATGTTGCCCCTTATACTAACAGGCCTTAATGGGGATTCTGAACCCTAAACCTCGACCCTAAACCCTATAAACCCCCCAGGCCCTGAACTCTAAACCCTGAACCCTGAACCCTGAACCCTAAACCCTAAACCCTAAACCCCAAACGAGAGGTGCGTACCTTGCCGGCCTTAAGTCCCGGAATCTTCAGAGCTCTCGCCTCAGGTGCCACGAGGTGGTCTAGCACTCACGTTTAGGGTTTAGGGTTTAGGGTTTAGGGTTTAGGGTTTAGGGTTTAGGGTTCAGGGTGGTAAGAACCCTTGCCTATTTTGTTGATCTATTTGGGCGTTTCACGATGTAGGGGTACCCTCAATATACCCCAAAGAACTGTCACCCTCGCTAAAAGAACGCAAAAATTGTGCCCCTAATTTTGGAAACCTCCAAAAAGGTTGATCATGATGGGCTGTGCCAAGTTTGGCCGGTGGTCGAGGTCAAATCCACCTAAACCCTAAACCCTAAACCCTAAACCCTAAACCCTAAACCCTAAACCCTAAACCCTAAACCCTAAACCCTAAACCCTAAACGCTAAACGCTAAACCCTAAACCCTAAACCCTAAACCCTAAAGCCCTAAGCCCTAAGCCCTAAGCCCTTAAACCCTAAGCCCTAAACCCTAAACCCTGCGTCCACATTGCATGTGTGCTCAAGTCTCTCCGAGGAGTCTTTCCGCAAGGCGGTCACAGTGTGAAGAAAAGGGCTTGTAGGTCATAAAGGCCGGTGGCCTCTGTATCTGTTGCCCTCATACCGTAATTTAGCCCCTAGATACCCGAATAAGGACCCCTAATATATGCCCTATAAAACAGAAACCCATATAACTTGTAGGGTAGGGTTCTAGAAAGCTAGCAGGTAGCAGCTATCACTTATGACGAACTTCCTGGTCTTGCGTGAGTGCTGACACAACCTTGATACCAAGGATGACCATGTACATACCTTGGCACCCAAAGACGTTCAACTTGCTCACCCTCTTCCCTCGCGGCGTAAAAATTTGGTGCCTCAACCCTAAACCCACCTGAGAAGGGAATGCGAGAGGGAGGGATGGGAAGTGTGTACGCGCAGCCAGCCCTCTCAGGCCGGGGCGGCTGCGGAGCCGTAACCAGACTTTGGCCGTCCCCCAGCACCTCACTCCCGGGATGTTCCTGCTGTGAAATGCAACCTGAAACCTTGTACAACTATGGCCTTGCACTTCGGATCCGGAACCAAAACCCTATAACCTGAGCCCTACACAGCCTTAAACCAGGCAACAAGGCTGCCACAAGGGGAGTTCTCATTGCTTGAGGTGCCAACGGGACTCATGCTGTCGGATGTGAGTGGCGAGCTCGTCCAGTGCCTGCCATACTCAGGCTCTGGTCACTCGGGTGTCGGGCTGCGATGGGGAGGCTGGCAAATTCGTGCCCGAGAGCCCTGAACCCCTCAGCGGCCTTCTTCCTTGCGCACAGACTGTGCCAAATCATAGGCATCGGGGCTTTCTGCTTGGTGACCACGACACATACAACCAGCCGCCGGAGTCTCGCGCCATGCATCTCTTCAGCCCAGACTACAAAGCCCCAACGTCGCGCCGGCGGCGGACGGACATTTTGGGAGTCTCTAGCGATACAATGAGCTGGACGCACAGCTGTAGCCACGCGGACAACTCTGCAGGTTCAGTACGAACCGGCTTGGAATCATGCTCTTGTACAAATCGGGCTACAAAGGGTGCCGAGCCTACAGGCAAGCCCCGGAGCTCCGGACGCCTCAAAGGAAACCGTTGAGCAAGCGTCAGTATCACTGATGGTGACAGCTCCTGCAAACAGGGTGTCCTGCACCAGAGACCTCAAGTACATTGAAAAAAAATGGTGGATTGTCTAGCCCCCTTGTGCCTACCTAAACCCCAAACCCTAAACCCTACTTGCATGCTGATACTGAATGATACTGACGAGCTCCTGCCAGGCTGGGACAGGTCGGCATGTCCGACTCCATTCTTTTCGCACTTGCCGTCTTCGCACTCCAATTCTACAGCAGCTTGATTGAGCGGCTCAAGGTTTAAGTTTGGGTACCCTGAAGAAGAGGGGCCGCCTTACAATGAGGACCCCAGAATGATCATCTCGGGGCGCTTCTCTTTACTTTTCAATACACGGTTTTTTATCCTCACTCTCCTTGACATTCGGGCAAAAGAGGAGTTGATGCATGCCGGCGTGTGCCAGACTCGACGAAGCAAATGTAACACGGACCATAGGACTGCCAGAATGCAAGCAATGAGACTATTATGTTATTACTTTCTTACACTACTTCTATTATTATCATTATGTTACTATAATATTATTTTTGTTTTTATTATTATTGTATTATTATTTTCCTCTTACTTTATTTATATTTATCATATTCGTACGCCTTCAATCATGGGGCCAAGAGTCCTGGCCCACGTTTTGGTGGAGCGAATGTTCAGCAACTCTTCCAGCAGTCCGTCTGGCCATGACGAAGCGACTATGGACAAGTGACGCAGCAGAGCTCTAACTGGGAACTTGAACGCGATGACCTGCAGCTGCAGGGGGGGTTGGCTTCAACTCTCGCACACGACGGCCTGCGCAGAAAACAACTAGCCGGCTGAATCCCGGTGACAGCAAGAAAGATGCAGCACGCTCTTGTTAATATTCTTCGGGGGAGAACATCAGGGAATCGGGGGGCTATCACCAGGAACGTAACACTCACCAACCGATTTGCAGCGCCTACAAGTAAACGCAGGCGTGTAGGTGCCCGGCCGATGCACTCAGTCGCACCTGCCATAGAAGCGGAACTTCGAAAATATGTGAAACCCGACTTCCACCAATTGTGGCGGCCCTGTCACAGCCCTGCACTGCTGCTGAAATAGATAGATTCGAAAGTGGGACATTCTCTGAGGATGCATGTGCGCTGGAAGGTTCGGAGATTTGCTTCACGGCTGGATCAAGCTAGTGTTCAACTTTCATATGCTCGCCGAGCACAGGAATCCTTCGAATACCAGAGCGTACTTCTGACTCTAACCTGCGTAAAGGCCAGCAGTTCCCCCGCACCCGCATGTCGCCGTGGCGGGGGGAAGGGGGGGGGAAGGGGGGGTGGTTTGGAGGCCGCATTTGAGGTTTGATTGTTTTGGGGCGGCAGCTGGGATTGCCTTGTAGGGGGCGGCGGCCGAGCTCGCTTCGCCTCAGACAGCATCAGACAGGGGGGTTTCCGACATTAGGGGGTACCTTGTTGGGGTCCTTATTCTCTAGGAATTATACTATTTGGGGTTCCATATTCAGGGTCCCTTCTTCTTGCAAATCCCCACAGCGCGGCATGGACTTGAGCAAAATTATACAGCACATGTCTCCCGAGCTCAGTAGTCTTAGACGTGCTGAGTCTGCCACATACTGGGCGAGCACCTGCATTCTGCCAAGGACTCTCAGACCCCACAGCCACAGTGTGGTCGATCTGCAATGCGGCATCTCGTCATCATGCAAACACGATCATAACAGCTACTGGAACTGACCATAAGAATAAGCAGAACGATGTACCAATAACAATGGCAAAAACACTAACAATAGCAACAATAACGGCAATAACGGCATAAACCTATGGCCTTTCACGGGCACGGTGGTATCTATTTCAGCTGTAAGCCGCCAGATACTTGCTTTTGCGCGACGACGCTTTCCACACACACACACACACACACACACACACAGAGACACAGAGACACAGAGACACACAAACACACACAGACACAGAGACACACAAACACACACAGACACAGAGACACACAGACACACACAGACACAGAGACACACAGACACACACAGACACAGAGACACACAGACACACACACACACACACACACACACACACACACACACACACACACACACACACACACACACACACACACCCACACACGCACACACGCACACACACACACCGCACACCACACACACACACACACACACACACACAGAGACACACACACACACACACACACACACACACACACACACACACACACACACACACACAGAGACACACACACACAGACACACACACAGAGACACACACACAGAGACACACACACAGAGACACACACACACAGAGACACACACACAC